CAAAGATTTTTCATTTCCTATTCAAAGGATCCCTAAATATCCCTGAATACAGATGATTGCTGATTGGTCGTGTACAGTACCTGTACACAATTGAACATGTTGTGGAAAATATTATAGGTGTTAATCGATCTCTGTAACTCTCTTATCTTTGGTAAACACACTTTTATATTTACAAATTAAACTGAATCTAATTTCATTTTAGTTTTAACTAGACAACTAGAAAACTAGAGAACTAGAGAACTAAACACGCCGTAAGAAAGTGATTTTACTGTTAAAAATAACTTTAAATAAAATGAATTTGTCATAAAATATGTTTCCTATAAAATATCTTTCTGTCTATTTATTTATATATCCATCTATCATTTTATCTATCTAATTCTATATATATGAATGTATATAATGAGCTCCAAATGTTTTATATATAAATATTTTTCTTGCCTAGTGTAAACTTAATAAAGCCTGGATCACATATATAGATACAGAGTCACCCACAAAGGATGAGACTGTAAAGACGACTTAAATCTCATACAATATGAAGATCCCAAGTTTATACTAAGTCTACGGTTTTCATAATGTCTTTAAATCGTAATTAAATGATTTTGCAAAGAAAGTTGTAGAAAATCATGAAGTTAAGGTAAAAGATTATATAACCAAAGAGAATAGAATATATATTAGAGTGGAATTTACTAGAAAAAAGTGTAAAACGGCCATTTTGTTGTACTGTTTCCATACTGCAGGTGTACTTCACATATTTGTGCTATATAACCTTTTGGGCCCTGGAACATCATTTTATAGAAAATCTAAAATTAATATTGAAAGAAAACCAAATTATGAAATAGGCTGGTTTCCTAATTAACCAATGATCATTTCACATAGACCCTATGCCTATCACTTTACAAATGATGATTTTCCGTTATAACTATAAATCAAATGATGTTTTTTATTTACCTAATCAAAATTGAAATGGATAGTCTAGGGAATATACTATATTAATATACTCTACTGCATATGATTTGTGAATTTTTACATGATTTGTATACTTTGAACTTCCTTTTAGGCTGAAAGGGACTGACAAAATGCATACCGAGGGATCGTCTAAATTCCACTCTAATATATATTCTATTCTCTTTGTAAATAACTCCGTAAAGTCGTCTCTGAAGTCTCATCCGTTGTAAGAAACCCTGTATATTCAAGAATAAAAACACTTGAATGTACAATTTACTCTCTGTTAGATCAATAGTAATATAAACAATAAAAATGACTACAATAAGACCCATACAACTGTGGACGACGACATTTAAGGAATCTCATTTGTATTTCATGGTGGTATAAAGCTTAATTTTTATCAGCAGCTATATATAATCAACTTCTATATATATTATTGGCTTGTCTGTTTGTTTGTATCCAATAAACGTCAAAACGACTGAATCGATCGGGCCCAATTTTTTGAGGGAGCTCGTGAAACCCCAGGGAAGGTTTATGAACGATCAAATTTTCAAAAGTCTGAATCCATCAAAATTCGATTTTTGAAAATTTATAAAATCCAAGTAATCTGTTTTTAAAAATCCGCGAATTTTTTGTTTTTGTTTTATAAACAAGGAGAACCCTCATGTTATTTGTTAGCACGGATAACNGGGTCTACACTCCCTTTAAATAATATTTTGTAAACTAGGTTTGGGACTACACTCCCTTTAAATAATATTTTGTAAACTAGGTTTGGGTCTACACTCCCTTTAAATAATATTTTGTAAACTAGGTTTGGGACTACACACCCTTTAAATAATATTTTGTAAACTAGGTTTGGGACTACACTCCCTTTAAATAATATTTTATAAACTAGGTTTGGGTATACACTCCCTTTAAATAATATTTTGTAAACTAGGTTTGGGTCTTGGAATAATCTACCTGCCTAGACTGGATTGTATAACTCAATACTTTGATAAAAAACGTCCCTTTGTGACAGGTAAACTTTAGTTCATGAAATATCATTAGATTTTATTTTCGTAGCAACAACATTGTTGACTTTATTGTTGACTTTAACATTTATTTAAAGTAAAATGAAAAATGTTTTAAAATAATTTTACCAGCGGGGATTGACATTGGCTGGTTAGAAAATACCAAAGGAACTATTGACGAATATATGTGGTCACATCATGGGAGCGTTGTAGAGGTTCATGTTGGTGCAGGTGCAGAACAGCAGGAACTACTTAACGGGCTTGAGCGATTATGATGTCTCTAGATAGAACCCAGATTTATATATCTCGGAACATACAGCGGCATTCAGTGCACAGAGTCGTCTTGTATTTCCTTATATTTCCTTATATATCCTTATATTTCCTTATATTTCCTTATATTTCCTTATATTTCCTTATATTTCCTTATATTTCCTTATATTTCCTTATATATCCTTATATTTCCTTATATTTCCTTATATTTCCTTATATTTCTTTATATTTCCTTATATTTCTTTATATTTCCTTATATTTCCTTATATTTCCTTACATTTCCTTATATTTCCTTATATTTCCTTATATTTCCTTAAATTTCCTTATATTTCCTTGTATTTCCTTATATTTCGAATTTGTTTTAACAACCATATACAAATAAAGTAAATTACACGTGTCTTCAATCATAACTCCACATATTGATAATCTTTATGTTTGATATTTTTATATGTAACCAGATAAATCTTCCACTTCTCTCCCCTCCCCTTCCCCCCCTATCTTTCCTTGGTCTTTCATTATTTTTATTTTTAGGTTTGGCTATTTGTGGATCAGGATTAGGGACTTTTCTATTTGCTCCACTTACTCAAATGTAAGGACAGATGTTAGAATAGGACATAGGACAAGATAGGACAGGATAGGATAGGAGAGGACAGGATAGGACAGGATAGGACAGGATAGGGAAGGATAGGACAGGATAGGATAGGATAGGACAAATANTAAACCCTAAATATTAAATACTGAAGTAAATTTGGCATTTTGTTAGATGTTTCAAAATGCCCGTTCGTTATTTTGATGATATTATTATGAATGATGCATGTTTAGACTGCTAGATGCTCTGGGTTGGAAGATGGCAATGTTATCTATTAGTGGAATATGTTTGCTTAACAGTGTGTTCGCTATCTGCTTCAAACCTTTAGAATCTGTTCAGGTATTTAACAATATATTTGGTATGTCTCACAATGTTTTAGTTATTTCTAACATTATCTTAGAAATTCTGACAATGTTTTTGATATTTCTAACAAAATTTTAGATATTCAGACGGTGTTTTAGGTATTTCTAGCAACAATTGAGGTATTCTGACAATGTTTTAGGCATTATTAACAATAGTTGAGGTGTTCTAGCAATGTTTTAGGTATTTCTAACAATTGTGACAATTTATTAGGTATCTAAACAGTATTAAAGGATTGTCTGATCGTGCATTATATATTTCTAAGATAATGAATACTGTATTTTAAACTGACCTAAAATATTTGTTGTGTTAAGTTCTGAATTGCGCCGCAGTTTTCATAATTTTTCTTTTCTGACTTTCCCTTTTAACTTTTAAGCTTTGTATGTGTATACTGCGTACTTTGTAGTGTCTTTCCTTTTCTTAGACTTATACACAGAGTGTTCATCTATTCATCTATTCAGATATTTATCTATTCAACTATTTATCTATTCATCTATTCATCTATTCCTCTACTCCTCTTTTCCTCTATTCCTTTTTTCCACTATTCCTCTATTAATCTATTCATCTATTCATCTATTCATCTATTCACCTATTCATCTATTCATCTATTCATCTATTCATCTGTTTATCTATTCTTCTATTCATCTATTCATCATTTATCTATTCATCTATTTATAATTTATTCCTTAACTTCATTTATTCATTATTTCAATAATTCGTTAATTCAATAATTCATAAATTCATTAATTCATTTATTCAATTATTTATTTATTCATTTATTTATTAATTTATTTATTTAAATGCTCATCGTTTGCGAAAACTTGAGTTAAAAAGGATTAATTTCTAGCTTGTGTTGTTCCTCTATTCAAAGTATCAATATTGTAAACATTTGTATGTTCGGTTCAATGTGAACTTTGTTGATTCCCTTTTAAACATCCTACATTTGAATATATTTTCAGTAAACCTTATTTACATATTTTCAGTAAACCTTATTTACATATTTTCACTAAACCAGTCTTGATTTTTGAAGAAGAAATATAAAGAAAGTGTTTGAAAAAAGTTTTAAATTGTGATTTTTTCCAAAGAATTAGGTTTGTCAACTGGCCTAAATTTCCCACAAGTATTCTTACATATCTGAATACTTAGCAAGCGCGCATGAAATGTCGTCTTGAAATTTATTCAAAAATTTATGACAGCTGTAATGTTTCATCATTAATCTGCACAAAAAGAACTGTTTTTTTATTATTATTAATTCAAGGTAAATTAATAGCCCTTAAATATGAAGGTCAGCAATTGATATATTAAATTCGTTTTCCCGCGGTTTTTGATCTTAAATACGACATTGAGAATACGACATTATAAAAACTCTTGCTATGTATTCATATATCTGGGATTCACTATATGTAATATTTATGTACAGTTAAACCCTAAACGAGCCCTACATCGAAAGAATTTATCAAATGTCGTCTTGACAATTTTTCAATGGGGTTTATACTTATTTACGTAAATCTCAGTATTTGCGAAAATACATTAATAGCCATGAATATGCGGGAACAGTTTTAAAGAGTTTTATATAATCATTTAATTAAAAAACTAAATATCTGCAACATTCAATTATCAGAGACATTTGATGAATTCTTTTTAAGAATGGCTTAGTTAGGGTTTAACTGTACCTAAAAAATGTATATTATGCAAACCAATTTTCTTTATAAAAGAAAATAAAATAAATCAGAATTATTAAATTTTTAAAAAGTGATCAGAACTGTTTAGCGTACAATATTGGGCCAGCATGGACATATTGCTAATTGACAAAACTGATGTTTATTGATTTTTCCTTGTGGTGTAGTATTATTGGAATCAGTAATACCGTGGCTCGGCTTATCCTAGGTATCCTGTCTCAGCGAATGAACAGGTATGTGACACGGCTGAACCGAATTGGTCAAATTGTTTTTGTATTGAACACATGACTTTTGTTAGCTTAGATTTAAACCTTTTTTTAAATTTTTTATTCTGTTTCGCGTTATTTTGGAATTAAGAACAGAATTTGTAAAACTAAAATAAATTGCATCGTAATATTTAAATCTTGAATATATTTCGATCATAATTCCTCTTATTGAAAACCTATGAAGAAGAATAAAAATTCTAATAAAAAATTTCTAATAAACAACCCGATATATAACCGGATATATAACCGGATATATAACCGGATATATGATTGTGCTTAGAATCACTACTAGAGGAGGTACAATAGGTCACAAAGGCGCATCAGTAATGTGCTTGTGGATTATGTAAACTAAGTTTTCCAGATTATTCCTGTACAACACGTAGGGTTTCCAATCAAAATTCCGTTGCACGCAATTGCGCGGAATTGCACGCAACTGTTCTCGTATCGCGCACAATTTTTAGGAGTTTAGATTATTCCTGTATAAGACCTGTTTCTAGATTATTCCTGAATAACACCTGTTTCTAGATTATTCCTGTATAAGACCTGTTATTGATTATTCCTGTAAAACACCTGTTTCTAGATTATTCTTGTATAACACCTGTTTTTAGATTATTCCTGTATACCACATGTTTCTAGATTATTCCTGTATAACGTATGTTTCTAGATTATTCCTGTATAACACCTGTTTTTAGATTATTCCTGTATACCACCTGTTTCTAGAATATTCCTGTAGAACACCTGTTTCTAGATTATTCCTGTATAACACCTGTTTCTAGATTATTCCTGTATAACACCTGTTTCTAGATTATTCCTGTATACCACCTGTTTCTAGATTATTCCTGTATAACACCTGTTTCTACATTATTACTGTATACCACCTGTTTCTAGATTATTCCTGTATAACACCTGATTTTAGATTATTCCTGTATAACACCTGTTTTTAGATTATTCCTGTATAACACCTGTTCCTAGATTATTCCTGTATACCACCTGTTTCTAGATTATTCCTGTATAACATCTGTTTCTAGATTATTCCTGTATACCACCTATTTCTAGATTATTCCTGTATAACACCTGTTCCTAGAGTATTCCTGTATAACACCTGTTTCTAAAATGTGCTGTAAAACACCTGTTCTTAGATTATTCCTGTATATCATCTGTTTCTAAAATGTGCTGTATAACACCTGTTCTTAGATTATTCCTGTTAATTATCTGTTTCTAGATTATTCCTGTATAACACTTGTGTCCAGATTATTCCTGTATATCATCTGTTTCTAGATTATTCCTGTATAACACCTGTTTCTAGATTATTCCTGTATAACACCTGTTTCTAGATTATTCCTCTATAACACCTGCCTGGTTATCTGTGGATTGTGTATGAGTGTCTCTAACTACCTTCAGCCAATGTTTGCTGCTCTGACCGGCTCTGACTGTCTTCTACCTGATCTACCTGATCTACCTGATGGGAACACTACACTAGCCTGCCTAGCAAATAATTGTACTTCTACAGGTACAAGCTGACCTGCCTGACCTACTTGACCTACGTAACATGCCTGAACTTCCTGACCTACCTAACTTACCTGACGTAGCTGCCCTACCTTACCTACTTGACCTTATACCTGACCTAAACCTAACTTACCTAACCTGCCTGACCTACCTAACCAACATGACCTACCTAACCCATCTGACCTTCAGGATCTACATGACCAACATGACCTACATCACCTACCTAACCAATTAACCTTATACCTAACCTACCTGATCTACCTAACTTACCTAACCTACCTGACCTACCGCCTGATTTCCTGACCTACCTAACTTAATAGACCTTCTACCTGACCTATCTGACCAACCTGACCTGTTTGACCTATCTGACGTAACTAACCTACCTAACATGACCTTCCTGAATTACCTTACCTACCTGACATACCTTACCTACCTGACCTATCTTACCTACCTGAACCTACCTTACTTACCTGACCTACCTTACCTACCTTACCTACCTGACCTACCTGACCTACCTGACCTACCTGACCTACCTAACCTACCTAACCTACCTGACTTACCTTACCTACCTGACCTACCTACCTACCTACCTGAAACCAGAAAACTCGCGAATCGGAAAAGACACCTTTTAGAATCAAATTATAAGACTTAACAACTGTGCAGTGCAAACAGACCTATATTTCACTAAATTAGGGATTTAACAAGTGTTTAGTGCTTTTTAACAACATCAAATAAACTTAAGTTGTGCTATAATGTCGTCTTCATATTCCATTGTTTTCTGCATATCACTGTTCCTACACTAAAGATGCATTATGAAAAGATATAAAGAAAGATAAAAAAGAAAAACAACAAAATCTATGAAACTTGATGTCAAAAAATGTAAAGGTAGAAGCAAGAGGGAAAAGAAAAACTGTAAAATATAAAAAGTAAATGTGGAGAAAAAAAAGTTCCAAGCTAGCGACAAAAAAGATAAATAAAAAAAAGGAAAGAACATATAGGAAGCAAAAAGAAAAACAACTCAAACCATTGAATTTAGATAAAAATAAATTAACCAAGAAATATAAAAAAGAAGAACACACGAACTCAACTCAAAAACTAAATAAACATTGTTAAAAGCTTTAAATCTAATCAAGTTCAAAAAAGAATTTCAAGAATGTAAAATCATGTAATTCTGAAAAAATTTATAATTTTTAAACATATGTCACAACGTTAAGTGTTGCAGTTCGTTTTTAAATGACTAAGTACATTTCTTCACAAAAAACTTAACTTCTTACGCGATTGATTTTTTATGGGATAAAAATTGAAAAAAGTTTTGCTAAACATTTTTAAAAATTTTTTTATGGCTCAATCTGTAGAGAGTGTTATCTGTTAAAAGTTTAAACGTTATATATTTCATTAGATATTAAAAATGAAGCAAAAAGTAAGTTATGATCAAAAATTTAGAATTTCAAAATCCAAGTTAAAAAAATATAACAAGTGATGAATAAATACGCAGGGACGTACTTTTATTCATCCCCCTCCCCAAATTATCAAAAATCATTAAATTCTAAATAATATTCACCCCTGTAAATACGCTCAGAGAACATATTCATTGCCCCCGTGTTATAAAATCAAATTAAAAAACTTTTCCAGTTTAATGTTTAAAACATTTTAAACTCATTTGTCTCGAATTTCTTTCGAATAAAATACATTTGAAATGCTTCTCACTGTGCACTGTTCACAGTGAACTGTGCACGTTTTCGATTTGTTTGATCAAGGACAACGAAGATATCCTTGTATTTCCAGCTGAAAAAGTGTGTTATCTGTTCATTTCCAGCTAAACAAGTGTGTTATTTGTTCATTTTCAGCTAAACAAGTGTGTTATCTGTTCATTTCCAGCTAAACAAGTGTGTTATCTGTTCATTTTCAGCTAAACAAGTGTGTTATCTGTTCATTTCCAGCTAAACAAGTGTGTTATCTGTTCATTTCCAGCTAAACAAGTGTATTATCTGTTCATTTTCAGCTAAACAAGTGTGTTATCTGTTCATTTCCAGCTAAACAAGTGTGTTATCTGTTCATTTCCAGCTAAACAAGTGTGTTATCTGTTCATTTTCAGCTAAACAAGTGTGTTATCTGGAGTAGTAGATATATAGATGGATAGACAGAGATAGATAGATAGATAGATAGATATATCTAGATATCTAGATATCTAGGTAGATAGATAGATAGATAGATAGAAAGAACATGAACATGAACATGAACATGAGCATAACCATGAATGAACACCTGCTACTCTAGATGTAGTAGTAGTATGGGCCTGTAGTGCGTATGTGGGTCAGCTTGTCTATGCTGTTATATACGGTATAACTAGCGCAGCATACGTTCTTCTAACCACACTAGGTAGTTATAATAATTTAATAATAATAATAATAATAACAGTAATAATAATCTAGTATTGGCTGATCTCCTGGGTCCAGATATGTTTACAAACAGTTTTGGTCTTCTCCTTCTATTCCAGGGCGTTGCAACTTTAATTGGACCTCCCATTGTTGGTAAGCACAAAGATGATGCAATTTTAAACCAGAAATTCAGAGTTCTTAAAAATTAGACCAATTCAGATCTTCAAAATCTTATTTGATGCATGTTTATTACGAAAAAGAAATTGCTTTCCTCAATAGACGAAAGGAATGACTTTTCCAAAAAAACCGAAATTAATTTGGAATTTTTCACCTACTTTCATAGTTTTTAGCTATACATTCTGTTAAAATAGATAGAATGCTATTAAATTAAAAATTAAATCATAACATTATTTTTAAAACTGTCTTTTAAAATCAAAAATACTTCCGAGGAAGTCTGGTTTTGGGAAGTGTAATTACAGTGCATGCCAATTCTTGAACTTGAACAAAGTGATGTCAAGTGCATGCCACTTCCTGAACATGAACATAGTGATGTCAAGTGCATGCCACTTCCTGAACATGAACATAGTGATGTCAAGTACATGCCACTTCCTGAACATGAACATAGTGATGTCAAATGCATGCCACTTCATGAACATGAACATAGTGATGTCAAGTGCATGCCACTTCCTGAACATGAACATAGTGGTTTCAATTGCATGCCGCTTCATGAACATGCACATTATGATGTCAAGTAAATGCCACTTCCTAAACATGAACATAGTGATGTCAAGTGCATGCCACTACATGAACATGAACATAGTGATGTTAAGTGCATGCCACTTCATGAACATGAAAATAGTGATGTCAAGTGCATGCCACTTCCTGAACATGAACATAGTGATGTCAATTGCATGCCACTTCATGAACATGAACATAGTGATGTCAAGTGCATGCCACTTCATGAACATTAACATAGTTATGTCAAGTGCATGCTACTTCCTGAACATGAACATAGTGATGTCAAGTGCATGCCACTTCATGAACATTAACATAGTGATGTCAAGGGCATGCCACTTCATGAACATGATCATAGTTATGTCAAGTGCATGCCACTTCCTGAACATGAACATAGTGATGTCAAGTGCATGCCACTTCATGAACATGAACATAGTGTCGTCAATGATTGTTCTTTCTTCTAGGTTTTATGTTTGATGGGAGTGGAAGCTATGATATGGGATTTGTTCTCATGGGAACTATGATTTCTATCTCAGGGTTTATGCTCTACCCTATACCCTGTGTACAATCAGCTTTACAGGTATGTCAGATAAAAAGGTACGTAATCCCTTGTACATTCACCTATACATGTACATAATTTCTGGTATACAGGTACATAATACCTTGTAAAGTCAGCTGTACTAGTCATAATCGCTCGTACAGACATCTATACAGTTACATATAATCTCTTGTACAGTCAGGTATACAGGTAGATAATCCCTTGTACAGTTTGCTGTACTTGTCATAATCCCTTGTACAGTCAGCTATACAGGTAGATAATCCCTTGAAAAGTCAGCTTTACAGGTCATAATTCGTAGTACAGTCACCTATACAGGTACATATAATCCCTTGTACAATCAGCTATACAGGTACATAATCCCTTGAACGGTCAGCTATAACAGTACATAATCCCTTGTACAGTCAGCTGTAAAGGTACATAGTCTCTTGTACAGCTACAGCTGTACAAATAGCTAACCCTTTGTACAGTCAGCTGTACCGGTGCAAAACTCTTTGTACAGTAAGCTGTACAAAGTTGACCGATTTGCTTCAAATTTTAATTGGAGAACTCCCTATAATTTTCTTAATTTGGTCTTGGTCTTCTTAGTCTTAAAAAAAACTTTGTTTCCCGGCAAAGTTTGGTTCACAAGCTAGTAATTTTTGAAATTGAAGAAAATATTATTTGAAAATTATATAATATAATAAAAATTATTGTTTTTTTTCTAGAAGAAAGCGGACAGATCTAATATGAACAGATCGGAGACAGCTGTAACAATATGACAACACAACATTCCCACCTCTTGCTAAACAATTTCAACCATTTTCCCGGGAAATTTAAAAATTGGTGGGAAAACTATTGTTTTTTCAAAATGGCGTCTTATTTCTCAAACTATTTAGTTGTAAAATTCCTACAAATGTTTTTATCTAAAATGTATATTGTTATCGGACAAAACTTGGTACTTCCGCGACGATTTGCTTTCTTGAAAAAATGTTTAAAAAAGAAAGTATGAAAAAAATTTCACAAAAATAATTTTATCTTTTGTACTTTCTCTGTTTTTGTAGTATTAAAAGTAGCTTTAGATTGGTCATATATTAATATTTTTTCTGCTTATCTGATTTAAACAGGATAGAAAAGGCCAAAAAATATATTTAGTTTAAAATTACTACAACGTTTCTCTAAAATAATGGAAAAAAATCTCAAAAAGGAAAAAAATCTCAAAGAGGAAACAAATCTCAAAACGAAAGTGTATCTCTAATTAGCAATTCACAAACAGTATAAATATGACACTGTGGTTATTAATAGTTTAATATTAACACAATTTGATGCAAAAATAAAAAAACACAAAAAATTTATGAAAAAGAAAATAATTTTTGTCACGAATTCTAATTATTTAATTTCTATATCTATGCGACCCAATGTCGTAGACCTTTCATATTTTAATCTATGAATTCTGTTAGATCAAAAGATTCAAAGTTTGAAATATCAAAGGTTTACACCATCATGTTGCAAAGATATAGGGATACAAAAATTTGAGTTTGTGGCAAAAACTCAATTCCTTTTTAACAATAATTAAATAAGGAGACTCCTGTAGACGTAATTTCAAGATATCCTTCATTTAAAGAGTTACAACTCTGATTCACAACAGCACCCTTTCAATTTTCAATTTTCAATTTCAATATTTTTCTAATGGTCACTGAGATATAGGTTTAAAAGTTTAATTTCAACTGACCCTCAATGCAAAGAAGAAAATGCCAGATTTACAAGGACACCCTTTTAAACATAATTTAAATAAAAAATGTGAAAGATAACGTTTTCTAACTATTTTATATTTATGTGAATTTCTCTAGTCTATCGTTTAAGTAAGAAATGCGCGAGTAACTTTCCCAGAGAAACCATAAATCAAAATAAACATAAAGTTTTAATTCAGACTTGCTCAGACACAGATTTTAATGGTACCGTTGTAAATCGGACATTCCCATCTTTGCACGGAGGTTAATGTGAAATTACACCCGTAGTCTCTTAAAATTGAGGTAAATTGAGAGTAAGACTGTTGAAAACTTACTTCTATTAAATGTTCCTGTTAAGAATTGTTGTTACTTTTGTACCAGTGGATTTTATACCATTCATAGACTCAACAAATTACAGATTTATATGTAATATACTTCTGTTTAATAATTAATATATTAAACTCTCCATGCTATTGAAATAATAATTTGCCAAAACCAAGATACTAAAACTATGTAAAAATCGTTAAAATATGTAAATTTGTTACGTAAATTATATATAAGTGTAAATAAATATTCGTAAATTAAATACGTCACTATTATTTTTTTTGTATGTTTAGAACCTTCCAATAATTTATACATCCGAGCAATGAACTTACAAAGTTTTTTAGATTATTTAGAAAAATGTTACAAGTAAAAATACACAGCTACATTGTTTTATGGTTGTGAAATTTATTATTCCTAAAATTAGTTTTCTCGCAATGTTTTCATTTTCATCCTATTTTCATCATTATTTTCAAACTTTTTTTTCTCTACTTGATACAGAAAAAAAAGATTTTTGAAATTTTTTTTAAATCCACCAATAAAACTGATCATTTTATAATACACAAAGTATAAATAGCTCCAAGGAATGAAACAGTTAAAAGCTATGATTGCAATATAAGAATAAGTGTGTCAGTTTCAAAAAAAAAATATATGCACAGTCATCGTAGTACATATTAATACAATAAAGACGACTTTTAATTTTAATTATTGATTTCTACCAAGCATTCAAACAGAGAGAAGCTGTCAATTAACAGCTTTTCTTTGTTTACTTGCAAACTTGTAATTTAAAAAAAGCTTGTTAAAAACAAAACTCAAACAGAAAAGTCGTCTTTATAGTTTTGATATCTAGGCTAGGCTTCCTAATTGTTACTAGCTAAAGTTTTCTATTGAGAATATATTTATATATTTTATATAATTGATCATTATCAATACTCCCAATTATTTTTTGTGTCTGGCCAAGACCCCGTCCAAGCTCCAGAAAATGTTATTAAAATGAACTTTTTGCAACACGGTAGAACTTCAAAAAACTTTGCCTTATTTAAAAGTAAATATTCCTGTTTTAAGATTAGTTCATCTTTCAAATTTCATAAATGTAAATTTAAAAAGAACAAGTTATTCTTTGGTTTGTCGAATTCAAGGTCAAATCCAATCAATAGATAGATTGATAGGTACACAAACTGTGTCCAAAAATGTCGCGAAATGACTAAATTTCAACATTATAAAACTTAATTTAATTAGTCATAAGAACAATTTCCAACATCAACTTGACATAAAACATAGATTTTCAATTATTATCACATTAATTTCAATTTTCGATCAAACTGTGCTTTTGATTCATCTCTACAAATAATTTCGGTCAAACTTTTTAGATTGAACCGTTTACCTACATCAAGAGCACAGATGTACTTGAGAGGAAGATCTGAGATGATAGATTCTAGTCGAGAGTTTATGAAGCTTGTGGGGAGTTCCGATCAACTTAAGCAGAGCATGACTTGGTGTGATATCTCAAGAAGTATCTTGATATTTTGAGCTCATAGTTTGGTAGCTTAACACCTGATACATTGAGAGCAGAGACACAAATGCTTCAAATTGAGTTCAAAATTTAAAAGTTGTAATATATGAATGATTCTAATTTAAAACTTGAATTTGTAAAAGAAATAAGACGATTTTAATAATTTTCTCTTTCAATCTGAATTCAAACCGACATCAGCCTCTATACCCCCTTCTATTTTTCATGAACAATTCTTTTAAGGCTAACAGCTAGGCTTAATAGTACTGTCTGAACTAAGTAAATATTCAAACTTGTTTTTTGTAAAGAAGCCTTTGAAGCGAATTTACACATTTTTGTTTTCTTTAATAAACACATTTAGTTTTAAAAATTTGCAAATATTGCATGTTTGAATTCATTGGGTCAAGGGCTTTTTACGCAATTTTTGTGTTTGCACATGCTTAGCTTAATAACTGGAGTACGCATAAAATATTTGGATTTGGACGGAGAAGTTATACTCATAAATGTGAATATCAAAAATTATGTTTAAATTTTGTTTTTCTTAAACTGTGTCCTAAAAAACTAGAAAATCTTTGCAGAAAAAATTGTTACAAAACTTTTGCCAAGAACAAAATTATTAAAAAGACAAATGAATTAAATAATTTAAAAAATATTTGTATGTTTTAGACAATGCTAAATTTTACCCTTAAAAGAAAAATAATGACAAAAATGAACCTTAACTAAAGTTACATAACTGAACATAGGTTAATTCAGACAAACTTTATTAATAGTTTTTTAAAACATATCAAGTCATTACATAATGTTGGGAGTTTTCATCGAAACGATCTCGATATATTGGTGGTGGTTGTGGGGGTGGTGCAAATGTTTTTAAAATATATCAAGATNCTAAAGTTACATAACTGAACATAGGTTAATTCAGACAAACTTTATTAATAGTTTTTTAAAACATATCAAGTCATTACATAATGTTGGGAGTTTTCATCGAAACGATCTCGATATATTGGTGGTGGTTGTGGGGGTGGTGCAAATGTTCTTAAAATTTGGCTAAATCTATAATCTGTTCCCGCTTCTGGTCCCAGCACTGAAAATAGAAAAGTAAGATTAAAAATGTTTGTGAACAATTAGCAAACAATGAAAGATCATTCAAAGAAAAAAACTATGGTTCTATAAAAAAATTAAAATCGTTATCATTGTTTCCATTTTATGGATCAGACCGTTAATGAAATATTTTTTAATCGTTTATTCATACTAGACAAGCAAATATTATGAACAATCATTTTAAAACCATTTTTTTTTACTAAATTAAACTTTTTATTAAAAAAACAGATGAAAATAAACAACAATTTCAAAAACGAAGGAATTAAATTTTTTTCTAAACAACTGTCGTTAATGAATGATAGTTTTTTACTGAACGAACGATTTCACTGAACGATCGTTCAGTGAAAATAATGAATGAAAAAGATTCAAAATGAACGATAATTTTGCAAACAAACATCATCAATTTTTTCTCTGACCTGACCTGACCTGACCTGACCTGAAACCTAACCTTGTGGTCTCTTCCCACTAGAATCTGCTGGTTCTATTTCTGGACCCTCTTCCGTAGTTTCAATTAAAAAACTTTTACATCTTCCTTGATTCAAAGATACAATTTGGGAACTTCATCTTTGCTATAAATATAAAAAACTAAATATTAAAAATAAGGGCGTTAATTTTACGTTTAAAAAGTGCTTTTATAGTTTCGTAAAGAAAAAAAAACTATTATTTTGTCGAAACTTTTCCAATACATTTTTAATGCGTTTTTATTTTAAAGATACTAGCTAAAATGCCCGGCGTTGCCCGTGGTAAAAAAAAATTTTCAAATTTTTTAAAGCTTAAAACACAACCCCAGGCCACAAAAGTTTTAGCCCATTTGGTCCAGCCGTTTGGCCAGCTATAGGCAACACATTTATATATACATATATAAATATGTACATGTGAATGTCTTGTTTTATTATTACAGAATATTTAAACCTTAAACTAACAAAAAGGAAATGATTATTCGTCTCAAACTCTAATCTTTAAATATTTGCAACCTGATGGTGACAACTTTTGTTATTTAAAACTTTCACTATTTGTGAAATCAGAATTCATAGTTTGAAATATTTAAGGCCTACAACATTGGACTGCAAAGATATAGAGATAAGAAAAATAAAATATATTCATATTATTTTATTCGGAATGGTTTATAAAATTAGAAAGTTGAATTTGATCTCTGCCTTGTGTTGTCAAAATAAAAATGACAGCAAAGAATATAATTCCTAGTTGGGATTTCATGATCAACTGATTTATTACAATTTACTTGTTTCAGTTTACAATTTAAAAATCGTATCAATTATAAATAATAAGAATTCTAATTATTATAAGAAAATTATAATAATAATTGATTCCACTTTGCAGTACGGAATTGTTATCAAAACAGTAAGTGGAGAGGTGTACAAACGTATCACCGCAGGAACTGAAAATTGTTTTATTTAGAGCTATGAGTAATATCTGGGGTTCTTTATAAAAGGTTTTAAATAATCGTTACTTTTTCCTGTTTTTCTGTCATTCTGAAGTTTATTTAGATTATTATATTTAAGTAGACTGTAAGAAATAATAATTTGTCAAAACCAAGATACTGAAACTTTGTAAAAATCGTTAAAATATGTAAATTTGTTATGTAAATTATATTTGTAAATAAAACTTGTCAATATTAATATGTTGGCTTATCCGTTTGTAGTTTTTTTGTCTGTTCAGAACCTTACACGTCCTCAGAGAAGGTTTGTGACTGGTCAAAGTTAAAAACAATAAGAAAGAATAAGACCCCAAAATATTTTTCTAATTCGTTCAGAAAATAGAAGCCCAAAGGAGCTACGCGCATGCCGCGTAGTATTACAAGAGAGAGCATGCGCGTAAATCCTTTGTGCCTCTGCATCAGGGTTATTGTGAACGAAAAACTCCTAAATCTTGTGAAGACGACATCTAGTGTTCTACTTGTATTGTTATTAATTTATCATAACAATTATAATACATCTGATCTATTTATAGATTTTCTGCTTATAATAAATGTTTATTTTTTTGACAAGCAAAGATCACTAGTGGTGAAATTTTGAACTACAATTAAGGTTTCCAGCGAAAAAAAAACTTTCGCAAAATATGCGAACGAAAGTTTTCATTCGTGTTCCTTTTAATCCAGGGGCGTAGTGGAGGTTTAGCCTAGCGTAAGCGCGCCAAAAAAAAATTTTGTGCACCCCCTAAAAAACCGGTACTAAGAAAAAATAGAGTTTAAAATCTATATTAATCTACCTGAAGGCTGACTATTAGTCATCTGACCATAAATACCAATCTTTTTAAATGAAACCCCGCGAAAAAAAATATTGTAAATAAGATTAACGTACAAGCATGGAACAACTAGACTACAAGAAAGAATCTGAGAAATAATCATAAAATGGACAAATTGTGACATTGTCGATAAGAAAAGTAAAAAATTATATATAATTGTTTACTGTTTAATAAATTAGAGCCTGCCTCTGGCTCTAGGGGGGGCCTAGGTTTAAATTATCTTGTTTACAATTTAGTCTATTTGCATTACGTTAGCAAGCTTGTTCACTATCTAGTTTGATTCCATTATGTTAGCAATCTAGGTCAAGATAGACAGATATAAAGATAGACAGATATAAAGATAGACAGATAGAAAGATAGACAGATAGACAGTTAGACATGTAGACATATAGACAGACAGAAAGAAAGACACACAGATAGATAGACAAGCAGATAGACAGGTAGATAGACAGAAAGTCAGGCTGACAGACTGACAGACATACGATAGACAGATAGATAGACAGACAGGTAGGTTGACATAAAGTCAGAAAGTCACATATGCATGCATGCATGCCGACACAGCTACATAATATGCTGACAATCCAACTCCAGGGGGGGGGATACAGAGAGATAGAAAACCATGATATTACGGCAGCAGATTGTCAACATAAACATTGCTGACACCAACTCCAGGGGGGGGGATACAGAGAGATAGAAAACCATGATATTACGGCAGCAGATTGTCAACATAAATTTTGCTGACACTCCTACTCCAGGGGGGGATACAGGGAGATAGAAAACCATGATATTACGGCAGCAGATTGCTGACAAACACTTGTCTACATGCCTGTTTATATAGACAAGACTAACAATCTAACAGTCACATGAGCGTATACCATGCAGATCTCTGAAAAGATAAATTGAGAAACATTAAAAAAAACGACAATTGCCCACAAAAAAAATCTCTGGTCAATTTTGCAAACTAATGAGGACAATTGTAGGATACGTAGATCCAGAATACTTTGATTTTTTTTTTTCAAGACTTTTTTTTGACTTTACCTCTGTAACTCATTAATATTTATAATAGACATTTAAGCAATTCAGAACTCCAGGGCAAATGTTTTTAGTAAACATTTAATCGGCAAATTCGAATCAATTTTTGCGTGAAGAACTTGCAACTTTTGAATTTGCATTGTGAGGTAACAAGGATCAAGTATGTGGTCATGGAGCATCTCAGTTTTTTTTAGCAACATATTTTTTATCTTTTTGTGCAACTACATTGTAAGTTGTTTTATATTATGTTTTTTTTGCCAGGATTTTTTCTTTTTTTCTTTTTTGTTTAGATAAAAAAACTACAATGTAAAAATCACAAGAAAACACATACTTTTCAAAATGAGAGCACAAAATATTTTGATACATAAAATTATTCAATTCAAGTTCGATTTTTTTTATGAAAATCCACGAAAATAATTAGTACAAAATATAATTAAACATTGTTGGTAAGGCTCATTTTTTTTCTTCTAGAAAATTGTCATCTCTTGTATTTTTGTATTTTTTACTTGTTCAATTATGATTATTCTTGCTTGTTGCTGTAAATCCCTAATCTTTCTGAAGTCGCCATGTCTTTCGCCACTTTAACCCTATTTATCCTGACTGGTTTCCTGGGGGGGGGGGTCATATCTTTTTGTGATACAAACAAATCTAAAACATTTGGTTCGTTTTTGGAAAGCCCTTGGGCTCTGCTTCAATAATCTGCAAAAAATGGCAAATTTGCAAAAATCCAAATATTTATTGCGAAATCTAGTTAAATCAAGGAAAAAATGCGCAAAAAAAATTGCGCAAATTCCAACGAATTATACATTCTTGAAAAGCCCTTGACCCCTCGAATTCAAATCTTCAAAACATTTGCAAATCTTTTTAAAACTAAATGTGTATTTAAAAAAAAAACTGAAAATGCGCAAAAATATGCAATCTGGTTGTTTTTGTTATAGGCTTTCCAAAGAGCTATAAAATGTCGAAATCCAATGACTGGAAGTAGGTCTAAATATAGCTTTAGTCTGGTATAGGTAAAATAAGGCATTTATGCAGTATTCCTGAGGACTCAGGCAGTATACTTAAGAACCTATCTTTTAGCTTTAAGTGATGGTCATGTGTTAGTTAGAAAAGTCAGAAAATTTGAGCTACCTAGCTCTAATAATTTTTGAGTTATTGAAACAAAAAAAATACGGGGGGGGGTTTAAGTCTTTAAAGCGTGTACAATGTACACTGTTATTAATGTCAAACCAGTAAGAAATTGTACACAAATTGACCTTGTTTAAAGTGTTTCATTTTACATTTATAAAATTATTTTTTTAGATTTAGAAAATGCCCCCTCTCCCTGTAGATGGGGGCACCTTAGTAGATTGTGACGGTACGGTACAAGGCACTGCTGGGCAGGCTAGGGCAGGATCCACGATGAACGCGGTACAGTACACTACTGGAGGGCAGAGGTCAACAAATGGTACAATACAGCAGACTGCTAGTCAAGCGAGGGCTGGGCCCACTGTTGATGCGATACTGTACACTACCGGAAGGCAGGGGTCAACTAATGGAAGAAATCTCTCAACCACTACAATAAGGTTAACCTTAAATTATTTACTTCGATTCCAGTACCTTAGCAATCTAGGTCATAATTATACTGTAATTGTATACGTTCGCTATCTTGTTTACAATTTAACTTGATTCCAGTAATTGTTAGCAATCTTGGTTACATTCCAGTTTATTTGCACTACGTTAGCAATCTTGTTTATTATCTAGTTTATTTGCATTAAATTATCTTGTTTACAATTTAGTCTATTTGCATTACGTTGGCAAGCTTGTTCACTATCTAGTTTGATTCCATTATGTTAGCAATCTAGGTTATCATTATATTGTAATTGTAGTACGTTCGCCATCAATTTTGTTTACAATTTAACTTGATTCCAGTACGTCAGCAATCTTGCTTACATTCTAGTTTATTTGCACTACGTAGCAATCTTGTTTATTATCTTGTTTATTTGCACTACGTTACCAGACTTGTTCACTATCTAGTTTGATTCCATTATGTTAGCAATCTAGTTTATCATTAGATTGTAATTGTAGTATGCTCGCTATCTTGTTTACAATTTAGCTTGATTCCAGTACGTTAGCAATCTTGTTTATTATCTAGTTTATTTGCACTACGTAGCAATCTTGTTTATTATCTAGTTTATTTGCATTACGTTAGCAAACTTGTTCACTATCTAGTTTGATTCCAGTATGTTAGCAATCTAGGTTATCATTATATTGTAATTGTAGTATGCTCGCTATCAATTGTTTACAATTTAGTTTGATTACAGTACGTCAGCAATCTTGCTTACATTCCAGTTTATTTGCACTACGTTAGAAATCTTGCTAACATTCTAGTTTATTTGCACTACGTTAGCAATCTTGTCAGCAATCTAGTTTGATTCCAGTATATTAGCAATCTGGGTTATAATTATATTTTGATTGCATGACTTAAATTATCTTGTTTACAATTTAGTTTATTTGCAGTACGTTAGCAATCCAGTCTGGTAAAACAAGAATAGTTCTAGCTCTACTAAAGTCGGGGAAGAAACTTGATCTCAAGGTATTTATTACGGCTTAAGTGCTTTATAGACATCTTCTCCTAGACTCCTTCTCTTCAACGAGATCACAAGCTATCTTTAAAGCTAATTAAACTCTAAGTAAAATTTGTCTTGATTCATTTGATTATCTCAATGTTTACATGATCCTCTTTAGCCTGTTATACAGCCCCTCTATCCTCTATCTAACGCTGGGCCTTGCTTTAAGTTCCTTTCTACAGTTTATCTTTAAAGAACATACTGAGCTGGACACCTTGTTTTGGACACCCCGAATTCCGATCCCTTGATCCATACTTTTTGGCACTTTCACTCAGAATCATTTGGTTTCTCTATTCTCTCATTGTTTGAGAACTGAGTATACAGTGTTGTGGAAAACTTTTTTCGGATTCATTTGAGACATATTAAACTTTTTAAAGATCTGTAAATCCTGAGTTTGAGCTCAAATTAGATGTTCAAAACTCCTACTTTGGGGGTGGATACGTTTTCAGAATTAGTTTTTTTTAAATTATTGAATAACGACAACGAAAAATAAAGTAAAAATTATACAGTAATCTATTTAGATGGTTAGGAACATATTTCTCAAAAGAAATTTGTCAATAAATCAATGCTAAAATCGATTATTTCGTTTTCATTATTGTATTGAATTTCTTATTTTCTTTGAATTTATTCGCAGATTTCTTCAAATTCTTCAAATGTCGTCTTTTCAATAATAATTCTAGAAAATCTGCAGAAAATCTTTGTGAATAACGAGAAACTAGAATAATGAGAAAATAGAAACTAATAATTGAACAAGATTACTTATTTTCAATGATAAGATTAATTTATATTCTCTCAACATGTTCCTACATGACGTTTGTAGCTTATTGTAGAACTTTTTTACATTTTATGTCGTTGTTATTTAATAATTTAAAGAAACTAATTCTGAAAACGTATCCACCCCCAAAGTAGGAGTTTTGAACGTCGAATTTGCGCTCAAACTCAGGATTTACAGATCTTTAAAAAGTGTTATATGTCTCAATTGAATTCCAAAGAAGTTTTCCACAACACTGCATTCCCAGTTCAACTACCTTACATAGCCGGTTACTCCCTTTAAAATGAATCCGTTGTGAATTGGACATGCAGTACTCATTGAATTGAGAGTCAACAGAAATTATGTCAACAGTCCCTTTAGAAAAAAAGCGAAAAAAGCAACAAAAAAAAGCAACAAAAAAAAAGCAAAAAATAAACCAATACCCATCTCTACTCGGCCCTCTTCTCTGTCCTCAATTTGTTTATTTAGACTAAATAAACTTTTACCTGACATAAGGTAAACATCTGAATCAAAGAAGCAAAGTACAGCTATAAGCAGACAACTCTTGACTGGAAAGACGACTTTTAGACTCAAGTCATGACTTTACATATTCCAATATGTATGGTAGACCACATTTGTGCAGAGTGATCAGACCCATTTCACTTAGCTTAGTTTGTGATTCAATAAGTAAGTAAAACTATTTGCTTTGCAACAACATCAAATACACTTAATAATTGCCATAGAGTCGTCTTCCCATTTCAGAGTTTTCTGACTCTGGTTTATATATCACTGCATGTGATGTACATTATAAAGAGAGCTTGCAGGATGACATGATTTAATTTTTGTACTTTTAAAATGCGCCAATTTGAACAAAAAAATCCGCCAAAATTTGTAAATGATTTTGAATGGCCGATTTTGGTTGCGCAATGCCTAGTTAAAAATAAAAAGGTTTCTTGTAGACCAAATTTAATGAATAAACGTAGTTACACTGGTTTAAGTTGAAATAGATTAATTAAAGATCAGTAGTTCAACCCTGTCTCGCTATTCATTATGCTTCAGGATTTGTGAAAAGATAGAGATATTGTTTTAAGGTTGTTGAGATGGAGCCAGGTCTAGTTTACCTAGGGAACAGCTTCCAGGAGGCGCAACAGCTGATTCTAGAACAGGAAACCCAAACCAAATATTTACAAAAACAAAATGGCAGCCTTGTTTAGAGTACAGAAGTATTCGTACATTTCTGAGCTTTGCTTGTTTCAAATTTATTAAAAATAGACATTTTATGCAGATACATTTAACTGTAACATTTTACGAGGCTACATAGACTTTACCATCATGCAGCTCAATAAGAAATAGCGCAAATTATAAAAAGTACAACAAGTACAAATGAAAGGTCTAAAACCAGCTAAAATTAAATTGAATTTTTATTTGGTTGTTTTTTCTGTGTAGAACAAACTGATATCAGAGATACAGAGTAAGCAGAGCCCTGTCGAGGATCTTCTCAGACAAGCAGACAGTCTTATCATTAATCAGCAACCTAAAGCAGAGGTAAGCAATCAACAAACTGAATAAATACTGAAGTCGGTCACAGGGAATTATTTGGTTTGGTAAAATTTTCAAATTATTGTTTTGGGGCCCAATTTCTGATGGAAGGACTTAAAATTAAACTGTTAATGTTGTTGTTTTATAAAATCTTGAAATTTAACGGATATAAAACAAATTCTCGTTAAACATAACATGATATGCACGTTCTTAGCTACGGATATAATATTACCATGCTACTCATTGGTTTGATATCTTTTAACTTACTTCAAAAATAAATTAAACCTAAAAATTATAAGGGCCTCGCAATATTATTCTAATTAATACTTGGTACATAAAATGTTGTCATCCAACTATGAGTTTTTATTCACTTTGAGCAATTTATCAGTATAATAAAAGGACTGCTGAAGTATTTAAATCTATAGCATCATCAAAAGTGCAGACCTTTCGCAGGAAGACAAAACGGTTGTGGTTTGTGTCGCCATTTGTAGGTCGGGGCAAAACTAAGTAATGATTTAAAAAAATAGCGGTGCTATCCTCTTTTGAAAATTGTTAAAAAGTATGAAATTCGGACAATTTCCTTCATTGGTTTTGCAACGTAAATCCCCAAGTTACTTAAATAAGCATGGGACAGTTAAGACAAATTTACGGCAACACTCTTTTGTTTACAGTCTCTTTAAATAAAATTAAATCTATGAGTAAATCAAAATCGATTTTAAAAATAATATAATATAGTAAACAGATATTGAATTTTGGGTACCATGTTGGCCAGTCCCTCATGAGCTTGTCCTAATAGAAAGAGAAATAAAGACTAACAAACGTTTATTCAACATGATAATTAACTAAAGATTATGCGTGAAGCATGTGACTGGATACAGTTAATAAGTGCATATCCGGCTCTTAGCTAGGTTAGAGCGCATTCACAGGTCGTCTTTAGCTCCGCCACATTATCAATATTTAGGTGTATGCCTGCATGGCTGAGAGCCTAGGAAAGGCTTGGAAAGATCTCAACGATCTTCTTGAAAAAAGGCGACAAATTCTTCAGAAGAATTATACTACACAAGGGCATATTCAGGTTAAGGTTGTTTATCGTTATAAAAAACGCACAAAGTCGTTAACGAGGCGATCATATCGTTTTTCATAAATATAGAAACGTTCCTTCTTAACTTGTCTTTTCTTTTTATAGTTTAAAGGACTGATTATTTCCCTAAATACACTTAAATTATAAAGTTTAAATTTACTGTTAGATAAAAGTATTAATTGCCTTTGAAATATTGTTGTCTTTTAGGATAATCGTAGTTAATCAAAATATAAGGCTGGATATTTAATCATTTTATAACAAATCAAAATGTAAAGGGGGGGGGGCAGTTCAGAAATATATATAAACAAATGTAAATAAAACTTGTAATTGTTTTCAGGACAATTTGGATAAGATCGGAAATCTCAAATCTCTTTGCTCTAAACTGACACTTCAACAATTCAATAGGAAACATGATACTTTATTCATTTATTCATTTACTCATTTATTCATTTATTTATTTATTCATTTATTCATTTATTCATTTATTCATTTATTCATTTATTCATTTATTCATTTATTCATTTATTCATTTATTCATTTATCTATTTATTCATTTATTCATTTATTCATTTATTCATTTATTCATTTATTTATTAATTCATTTATTTCATTTATTCATGTATTTATTATGTTCTTGTACAGTGTGGAGGATATAAAAGTTGGAATTAAAAATCTTGAAAAAGCTCGGAAAAGTTTACTTGAAACATCAGTGTACTCCTTACAGGTTGGTCAGGAGAGGGTTTATAAAAGTCTTCCTTAGGGGCTTCTAGGGGAAATATTGAGGTTTATAAAGGTCTTGTTTAGAAGCTTCTAGGGTAAATATTGGGGTTTATAAAGGTCTTGCTTAGGGGCATCTAGGGGAAATATTGAGGTTTATAAAGGTCTTGTTTAGGGGCTTCTAGGGGAAATATTGAGGTTTATAAAGGTCTTGCTTAGGGGCTTGGGGAAATATTGGGGTTTATAAAGGTCTTGTTTAGGGGCTTCTAGGGGAAATATTGGGGTTTATAAAGTTCTTGCTTAGGGGCTTCTAGGGGAAATATTGGGGTTTATAAAGTTCTTGCTTAGGGACTTCTAGGGGAAATATTGGGGTTTATAAAGGTCATGCTAAGGGGCTTCTAGGGGAAATGTTGAGGTTTATAAAGGTCTTGTTTAGGGGCTTCTAGGGGAAATATTGGGGTTTATAAAGTTCTTGCTTAGGGGCTTCTAGGGGAAATATTGAGGTTTATAAAGGTCTTGCTTAGGGACTTCTAGGGGAAATATTGGGGTTTATAAAGGTCTTGCTTAGGGGCTTCTAGGGGAAATGTTAGGGTTTATAAAGGTCTTGCTTAGGGGCTTCTAGGGGAAATGTTGGGGTTTATAAAGGTCTTGCTTAGGGGCTTCTAGGGGAAATGTTAGGGTTTATAAAGGTCTTGCTTGGGGGCTTTTTAGTGGAAATTAATCTCAAGCAAAACTTCAGAACTGTATTAAAAAATTGTAAAAAGTATGCATCAAATTGAGTAAGTTAAAAAAAATATGCGCGTCATCTTGGCCCTCGAAAATAAAAAATCGTCCAGCTCAATAGGCAAAAGACTATAGGCAAGAAATGGTTAAGCACTTATTATGATGCCGCATATATTCCTATTTTACCCCGGGGAGGGGGGGGGAGCCTATGCTAATTTTAAAATATCTTTGTAAGAGTCAAGATCTAGGTACAATTTCAATGCTTCACTATTCAAATCAGATTATGTTGAGCAACGACTTGAAGAGCTGGGGTGGGATATTTTTGCCAAAAACTCAAATCCCTATATCTTTGCAACCTAATGGTGTATAGTGTACACCTTTGATATAACAAATCTTCGTTTGAAATGTCTAAAGTATACTGTAAAGATATAGGGATTAGAAAATCAGTATGTGGCAAAGACTCAATTCCTTTCTGTGAATCTGAATTTATATACTCAAGGTGTACTATAGTATATATAGGAGCAAGGTACTAATGCAAGGAAAGTTAATTGCGGTTGCGTATACTCTGCGTACATATTGAAACCAGTACTCTATGGGCGGTATTTGTAAACAAGAATAGATGAATCAGTGTTCGTCTAGTATCCGAGGAGGATAAAAGCATTTAATTTTGATAATTTTGAAAATTCCCATGATAGTGTTTCATAGATTATTTTTGTGAAAATTGATTCCATGTCAGGCTGTGACATCCGTCTTGTGTTTATTTTTCCGCCCAAAGACAGTACACTACAGTACAAAAAATGCGTAAACCTCTGAAATAACTTTCCTTGCATTAGTACCTTGTATAGGAGTAGATTAGGATGAGATGAAAGTAGAGATTAGAAAAGTATGTGTCACTATCTTACATTTGTCAAGATCTTACACAATTTAGTCTAGGAGATGTGAGGGGGGTGGGGAGAGAAGGCATTTTTGTACGTTTAATCTTTTTAAAGGGTCTGTAAGCGTAATTTCAAGTAACCTTTCATGCAAGAAAATATAACAATCCCCATTTTACAACTGTACCCTTCACTATAGTTTCAGTAGAAGTAAATATTTCCATTTACTGATAGCGCCGATGTAAGGATTTATCTCTAATTGTATTACGCGATAGAAAGAAAGATAGATGTTACCGCCAACTATTTCTATTGGTTCAGAATAGACAACAAACAAACGACTAAACCCTGATTGGATCAGGCGCTAATGGACATGGCATACAGGAGTGAATCGGTTATTGTCATCTTGAAATTACGCTTACTGCAGTGCCATAAATTCCACCATGTTAAAAAAAATCCTAAATCTGATTGAACTATCGAACTATCTAACGTTCTAATGCTAAAACCATGTAAGGATTTTCTTAATTAGTTCTAACTGAAGCTAGAAACACGGGCGTTGATGTCTAAAATGTCTATAGAGCTACACAAAGTTTAAGGCGCCAATTGGAGACCTTTCCTCTGTAAAACATTAAACAAATTTCTGGTGATGGGAAAAATGATTTCAAAATTTTAAATTAGATATTAGGCCAAATTTTGTCACAAAACAACAAAGATTTCTCAACCACTTTTTCCTCGATAGCATTTAGAATGTTTCTTCATTTAGTTTGTGAAAAGTTATTTAAAACTGATGTAGATATTATTCCTCAAAAACATTACTGCTGAAAACGTATTTTCTTGAAAAGTGACTACTCAAGGGCCTCCAACTATAACGCTAAAATGTTGTTTCTATACTATATACTCCCTTTTGCTTAGGTCTGCTTTAGCATTTTCAAGTTTAAAAATACAGAAATAACAACCAGTTATTTTCTATAAACTGCATTTCTATCATTTGTATTGGAAGCATTCATATCTGGCTGTATTTAGGAGGGCGAAGGACTGCTTGGTTTACTGCATGAGCTAGATTCAAGCCTGGACAGTAGACCTGTATATCTTTATCAGGCAGTCCTTGCTTCAATTGATCAGGTATAAAGGAAGATAGATGTTAGGTATACTCTCCCAAAGGAAGATAGATGTTAGGTATACTCTCCCAAAGGAAGATAGATGTTAGGTATACTCTCCCAAAGGCAACTTCCCAAGGGTATTTTCTCAAGTGGCAACAGAGGCACAGTCAGGGGGTGCTATGGGGGCTAAGCCCCCCATGAAGGGCATCAGTACTTATCATTTTGCAGTTTTAATGAAAATATCAAGAAATTTTAACTTTCCGACAACTTTTACCTTCATTAAGACGACATTTGATAAAGTTGCATAACATTTTTTTTTCAAAAACGTCAGTTTTCATAAAGTTCCTCCCTTCGTTGACGATCGTCAACGATAACCTTTTTATTAAAGATAGTTAACGACGATCGTTTTTTTTAAAAACAATCCTATAAAAACGATCGCCGATAATTTTTTATTTTTTAATATTATTATTCATTTTCTAAAAATTCGAAAAGAGTGGGTCGTTTTTAAAAACGATAGTTTTTCCGAAAAGGATACGATCGTTTTTGAAAATGATCGAAAAACGAAACAGAAAAGCAATCTTTTAAAGATCGTTTTCAAAAAACGATTAACAAACCTACCGGCAGTTAACAGTTAATTCAGCTCAAATTCATTAAATTCAGTCCTGACCTAATCATCTCCTTCTCGTGAAATTTTACTGTTAATTTAGGTTTCCGACTGGTTGGAGAATTTACACGATGCTAGAGTTGAAGTCTCTGATCTTTTTACCCTCTCCATGTCTGTGATGAAAAGAAAAATTTCAGGCAACGCATGGTCAAGAGGGTTTTCTTTACAAGCAGATCATGGTGGACATTGAACTACACCCTAGCTACAGAATTTACTTGAGTGGTAAAAAATGCTATATTGCACTAATAGATTTATCTATAACATTCAACGGGTAAATTCCAGATAGACTCTGTGCGGTAAAATAATAGCTGCTTTCTCACATGATCTTGCCAGACTACATTTCTTTAAAAAACGTGCTGGGTCGACTGTACACTATGTACTCTTGACTAGACAGTACAACTAAATGCTTAAACAATACATGTAGTATACTGGCTCAGATCATGCAACTTGAATTGTCCTTTATGTTTGAACATGTTTTGGTATAAACCAAGTTTGTTGCTAACTTCTATCTATCTATCTATCTTCTTATTCTTGATCATTGTAAGTATATTGGTAAACACCATCAGATATATATATTCTTATTCTTGATCTTGGTAAGTATATTGGTAAACACCATCAGATATATATATTCTTATTCTAGATCTTGGTAAGAATATTGGTAATCACCATCAGATATCTATCTTCTTATTCTAGATCTTGGTAAGAATATTGGTAATCACCATCAGATATCTATTTTTACTGAAGTTTAACTTCTTAACAACACAAAATTTTATATTTTTTCAAAAATTACAAGGATGCTATGAAAAGCAGTATTTTAAAACAGTGGGTCTTACTTTTTTCCCTAAAATCTTGACGATGATTTGGACCAGGATTTAATATAATGACTGAGATAGACTCTCTACATCGCCTCGTTGCATTCAACAGGGAGATGATCATCAAGAACGATTCATTAGGTAATTTTTACAACATCTTTTGAGTTTTAAATTACTAGTGTCAAACTGCCCTAATATCTATGTTAAAAATTAACTGTTTCTCCTTTGATTCTTTACCTATATTTTGTAATAGTTGATGGATTGTAGTACAGTTTATCTACAGTTTAAACTTTTGAATTACTAGGTTCAAACTGCTGTATCTTTAACTATATTTGGTAATATGTTGATAGGTACAGTTTATCTACAGTTTAAACTATTGAATTACTAGGTTCAAACTGCTCTATCTTTATCTATATTTGGTAATAGTTGATATATTGTAGTACAGTTTATCTACAGTTTAAACTTTTGAATTACTAGGTTCAAACTGCTATATCTTTAACTATATTTGGTAATATGTTGATAGATTGTAGTACAGTTTATCTACAGTTTAAACTATTGAATTACAAGGTTCAAACTGCTATATCTTTACCTATATTTGGTAATAGTTGATAGATTGTATAGTACAGTTTATCTACAGTTTAACCTTTTGAATTACTAGGTTCAAACTGCTATATCTTTAAATATATTTGGTAATAGTTGATATATTGTACTACAGTTTATATACAGTTTAAACTTTTGAATTACTAGGTTCAAACTGCTCTATCTTTAACTATATTTGGTAATAGTTGATAGATTGTAGTACAGTTTATCTACAGCTTAAACTTTTGAATTACTAGGTTCAAACTGCTATATCTTTATCTATATTTGATAATAGTTAATATATTGTAGTACAGTTTATATACAGTTTAAACTTTTAAATTACTAGGTTCAAACTGTAATATCTTTAACTATATTTGGCAATATTTGATAGATTGTAGTACAGTTTATCTACAGCTTAACCTTTTGAATTACTAGGTTCAAACTGCTATTTCTTTATCTATATTTGGTAATAGTTGATGGATTGTAGTACAGTTTATCTTCAGTTTAAACTATTGAATTACTAGGTTCAAACTGCTCTATCTTTACCTATATTTGGTAATAGTTGATATATTGTAGTACAGTTTATCTACAGTTTAACCTTTTGAATTACTAGGTTCAAACTGCTATTTCTTTATCTATATTTGGTAATAGTTGATAGATTGTAGTACAGTTTATCTTCAGTTTAAACTTTTGAATAACTAGGTTAAAACTGTTCTAATATCTAAGTTAAAAATTAACTGTTTCTTCTGTGGTTTTTTTATCTATATTTGGTAATAGTTGATAGATTCGTTGTTGCATATGCATGTTCAGGAAGTAGTAGTACTGAAGCATGTCAGCTTCTCGAGGCTACCCTCCAGCTTGAAAGGGAAGCACACACTATCTCAGAGAGATCTCTGAAGTGCGTTAAACTCTCCCAGGTGGGTTTAAATTTCAGAAAAAAATAAATTGGACTCAAAGTGTGCTTTGTAACAATATTGCTTCTAATAGCATAAAGAATCAAAGTAAAAGGACTGTCAAGGTAAAATGATAAAATATAAAAGTTTTTGTATAATTTTGACATAGTTTTATATCAATTTCTCGAGACAGGGACATCAGATATAACTAATATATTTGGTCTCATAAATTTCAGGCTTCAGCCTATATCCCCTTTTATTTTACCTTAACAGTCCCTTCAATAAGGGTGGAAATTGTAAAGTGAAACTCTAATTTATTTACATTAGAATTAAATTGACATTTTCGTGGTTCTACCAAGTTCTGCAATCAAAATTGAGGCAAATTGGTCCTGGGGTTTATGAGTTATGATCGGGCACACACAAAGACAGACAAACACAGATCACTCCTACATATATAGAAAGAAACTAGCTTGGGAACCGAGCATTGACTGAAAACTAAAATTCCCAAGTTAAAAACATTCCCGTTACTCTAACGAGTTCCCAAATCAAAATTGAGGCAAATCAGTTTAGGGTTTCCTGAGTTATGATCGGACATCCCAACAAATAAACAAACAAACAGAGATTACAACTTTATATATATACATGCTTGGGAACCCAGCGTTCGTAGTTACTCCCGCCGTTTACCCGCACAAAGACAAGTTTTACCTGGAAACTAACTTTTCGCTATAAAAGTCGACCCACTCAACTTAAAATCTTAAACCCAGGCTAAAAACATTCCCGTGGGTCTCCCGAGTGCCCCAATCAAATCTGAGGCAAAACAGTCCAGGGGTTCCAGAGTTATGTTCGGAAAAACAAACAAACAAATAGAAAAACATAGATTACATAGATATAGACACTTAATGGATGTGTTCATGAATCATTTGGTCATTTCAGGTTTTGGATGTAATGGCAGAAAATCTCTCTATGGAAGTTTCAATTAAGGAACCCAAACCAAACCAAACCAAACCAAAGCAACCCAAATCAACCCAAACGAACCCAAACCAAAACAAACTAAAAAAAATCAATATAGCCCTATCCAGACCAAACCAAATCAAACAATACAAAACCAAACCAAATTAAACCAACCCATATCAAGCCAAACCAATTAAAACTTAATCCTGATCTATCCACAACCAAACAAAAATAAACCAAATCAAAACAGCCTTATTAACCTGACCAAACAATTCAAACTTAACCAAACCAATTAAAATTAAAACAGCCATATCCAAACCTAACCAAACTAAACTAAACCAAACCAAAGCAACCGAAATCAAACCAAACCAATTCAAACTAAAACAAATCAATAAAGCCCAAACCATACCAAATACAAAACCGAATCCAAATAACCTTGTATAACCCAAACCAAATTAAACCACACCAATCTAAACTAACAACTCTATTTTAACCAAACCAAATCAAAACAAGCTAATGCAAAGTAAACCAAAATAACTCTATCTTAACCAAACTAAACTAAACCAAACCAAGCAAAACACAATCAAACTAAACCAAATTAAACCAAATTAAACCAAATAAACTTCATCATGAATGAATAGTCTAACCCAAAACTTTACTCTACATCTTACTTGAATACAAAATAATAAAAAAACATCATTTGTAAAGAAAAATCTCCCTTAAAGGGACTGTAAGCGTAATTTTAAGTAACCTTCCATTTATAGAGTGGCATGTCTGATTTACAACGGTACCTGTCAAACCTTTGTTTGATCAAGTGTAGATATTCTTATTTACAAAGCTGGAAATAAAGTGCGAAACCGCGCGAGTGTACACTAGCACTAGTGTACAGTGTACACTGTAACCTCAACTATACCGTCACTCAATCTTCAGTGCCCGTTCTCTCCATAATAATGTTTAAACAGTGGTCGTGTTGTTCACGTACTTTAGATGTCTCTCGTAAGAACTATCTATCTATCAGATAAGAATTTTGCGTGAGACACCTAGCGGCCTAACTATCGTCCCCCAAAGTACGTGAACAACACGGCCACTGTTTAAACATTATTATGGAGAGAACGGGCTCAGCTATACACATGAGGGTATCTACCTTATTGTTGTCCGAGGTTTAAAGGGTACCGTTGTGAATTGGACATGCCTCCCTTCAAATGAAAAAAACATCTCCATTAAAGAAACCAAGTATATTTGGTTTGGTTCCTCTACAGGCCTACGATGTGCTTGAGCAAAGTGCTGAGTACCAACTAGTTCTAGGTAACAAGGTTTTTACAACTTTTTAGAGACAGAAATATCATCATTATTTAAGTACCATTGGAGAACCCCTTTCATTGGTCCCCAATCAAAGTCTGGGGGTCTCCAATGAGAATCTGGGTATCTCCAATGTAAATCTGGTTGTCTCCAACGAAAATTTGGGGTCTCCAATGTAAATCTGGGGGTCTCCAATGAAAATCTGGGGGTCTCTATTGAAAATCTGGGGGTCTCCAATGAAAATCTGGGGGTCTCTATTGAAAATCTGGGGGTCTCCAATGAAAGGGGGTGTCCGATAGCACTCCAATGATGTTGATTTCTTAACATTTAAACATTTATGTTTGAAAACTAACCTTAAACAGAGAAAAATTTACATAAATGGTTTCGTCAATGATTTAATCTTTCTTTTGTTAATGCCCAGTCAACAATTCTATAACATTTACAAGGGATAAAAAGACGACTTTTTAACTAAATATCTGTAAATACTCCAATTAACCCTATCCCTGCAGGGGTACTTGAAAACCAGGATACTCGGGGGGGGGGGTGAAGTTGACCCCACCCCCTCTAAATCCCATGTTTGATGTCCAAATATGACAAATGATACATCATTGGAAAGCTCTTGTGCTCTAATTTTACAATCTGCATAAAATTTTGCAAATTTGCAAAAATTCAAATTTTTTTTACAAAATCCAGTTATAAAGTAAAATGTTTGCAAAAAAAATGTCCAAAAAATGATAAAATATCATTTTTGAAATGCCATTTCAAGTTTGAAAAAAATTTGGAATAAATTTTAAATAACCTGATGAATCTAATTAAATAAAATTAAAATTGTGCAAATAACTGAAAGTGGGTCAAAACAAAGATTAAGTTTGTTACAGAAAAAAGTAGTCATTCAGGCGTGTGCCTGTGGACTCAGGCAGTTAGTATAAAGCCCGTTTTTAGACTTCATGGGAGTGCTATGGATATTTAGGAAAAGTCAGAAAATTTCAACAGCCTCAGACCAATACTTTTTGAGTTGTGTAAAAAACTACAAGGTGGGGGGTACCCCCCACCCTGCAGAAATAGGGTCATCATGAGACACAACAATTGGGCATTGTGAACATTAACATTTAACTTAAAAAGTGATTTGATAAGTTACTAGTAAAAATGTTTGTTTTGTAACAAAATCAAATGCTTTAATGTCGTCTTCCTATTTTCTGTGGCTTACCGTAGAAAAACAAACTTCTTCATACAGGGTGTCCCATATCAAATTAGACCGCGTCAATGGGTCTAAATTACGGTTTGGGGGGAAAATCAGAAAATCTAAGAAGAATAAATCATTTTGAAAAATTTAATAAGGCTAATAGAATTTTTTTTTGCAGAAAAAGCTAGATTTTTCGAGTATTATGTGCGTATTTTGGCGTTAAAGATTGGAGGTAATCTAATATGATATTGGACGCTCTGTAATAAACTTTAATATCCTAGTTTTCAAAGATGTTTAAGGAGTCAGATCTCAATCCATGATCCTAAAAACTATTCATGGGCTGCCCGTGCCCAGTGCCCCGTCGATTTATTCCAAAATAATGATATCATTGTTTCAGATAATAGAAAATACCTGCTCAACAACGCCAAGGAAGAAAACATGATTTTTATGAAAAATATTCATATCTGCTTTTAGGCCGCTTCGCTTGACAATTTTAGCTTTTTGATTTTAACAGCTTTTAGAATTGTAATTTTAAATAATTATTAAATTTTCGTGAATTTTTCTATTTAAATTGGCGCATTTTCATTTAAAATTATTCAAGTTGGACGGTCCATTAAAAGGCACAGAGTAGAATTTAAAGAATTTGAGCCGCGGTTTAAATCTGCCAAAACCCAGTTTAAATTAAGCGCTGGTTTAAATCTTGAAACATTTGATACGATTTTAAGTGGAACCTACCATATTCAAGCCACGGCTTAAATTTAAACCGCCGCTCGAATTCTTTAAATTCGACCACATATTAAGAAAACATTATTTTTCATATGTAGCGTCTTAGGGTAGTACCTTATAAAAAATGTGTTTAATGTTTTTTTTTGATATTTTTTTGTGGGAATCCATTGTTGTCTGGCATCAGGAGTACTTTGATGTTTGGTCGAGTGCGCTGACCAGCCTAGAGAATATAGAGCGAGAGGTCACATCCTTGCATACAAATACAGGTAGAAGGAACCTAATACGACCAAAACAGCAAATCTAAAATTTAACTACACCACTACTCAAATACTAGGTCTTGTAGATTTATCAAATTGTACAAAAATCTGATCATTTATATTTTCCTTGACTAAATATTGATTCATTCACACTAATATCTGAATCTAATATGCACATCCAAGAAAAATAAATGCAAGAGCAAAAATTGGCTTGGTTTGTAGGTTATTTAGCTCTGGTCCCATCATAACATCATATGTTTCCTCCTATTTATGATTCCCTGCAACTATAAACTTGTTTCTTTTTTGCTTAATCATTTATTAAACCATAAAAAGATTATTTTCAAGGCGCAGACTTAATTTAACAGGTCTCAGGTCTCATACTTTGTGGGTAACCCTGTATATAGAAGGCCTGTAGAAGGTTTAAAACTAACTTAAAGGGAGTGACCGGCTATGTAAGGTAGTTGAACTGAGTAAGCAGTGTTATGGAAAACGTCTTTAGGATTCATTTGAGACAAATTAAACTTTTTAAAGATCCGTAAATCCTGAGTTTGAGCGCAAATTCGACGCAAACTTAGTTCAGCTACCTTACATAGCCGGTCACTCCCTTTATTGGAAAGTCATGATCTTTGATTCTTTTTATGAGATTTTGATTTCAATTAATTTTAGGGGAAGCACTTCTAAAACAACTGATTGGGAAGACACAAGAGGTTCTGACAAAGGTAAACTTTTAATCAAAAGAGACTGATTCTTAACATATATTATTTTGTTACTGAGAAGTTTTATAAATTTCTAAATTGTGCCTTTTAAATATTAGCCTTCCTTTCACGCACCTCTGACCCTTCAGTAAAAGTAAATTTAACCTAATGTCTGCCCGCGTCAACCTTATTGCACTGGCTAGTCCTATTGATTGTCTGCTTTATTTACCCAATGTCCGAGAGACACAGTACAAACTGGGACCGGAAAGGTTGACCTGGCTCGAAATGTACTACGGCTGCCCGTGTGGCAAAAAGGATGTTCATAATAATCGGTGTTTTGTACATACTTTTCCCCTCATATTTCCCCTTCGGATAAAATATTGCAAATTTGATGAAAGCAACCAAATAAAATACAGTTTTAAAATATTGGAAGTTTTCTTAAGTTTTAAAAAACGAACTGAGTATATTGACAGGATGTTAATAGAAAAATTTCATCAAAATATTGACAGGATGTTAATAGAAAAATATCAACAAAATGTAGAAAATGTTATTTTCATTTTTAGATCCTTGATGAGGGAGTGATGCTATCAGAGAAGGCTGGAAATGGACCTGGGACCCGTGGAGTCAGGTAAAAGTCAGCAATTAAAGGGACTATACGCATAATTTCATGTGACCATGTGTACCCGATTCACATCGGTTCCCTTGAATCCTTAAAGGGAGTGTTCGCGAAAAATGAAAGGGGGTATAGGCTTAATGCGATAAAAACGTCTATAAGGAGAAAATTGTTAAAAAACGACTCACACCGAAGAACGTATATATTTAATATTTCATACTAGTTTTGATTTTGTTTTTTAAAATAATATTTAGCTTACAACTTGTTTTCGAACATTCCTGGAAAATATGAAAATGTCGTCTTCATTACCAAAAATCCTCGAAACAGGAATAAACGTTTTTATAAGTAACTCTCAGATCATAACAATTAAAACATATTATGAAAAATCAACTATATATAAATGTGGCGAAAGATA